TTTTTTTTTTTTTTTTTTTTTAACGTTTATTTATGAGAAAGACAGAAACAGAGTGTGAGTGGGGGTAGGAGGCCGATAGAGAGGGAGACACAGAATCCGAAGCAGAGCCCAGGCTCTGAGCTATCAGCACAGAGCCCGACATGGGGCTGTAACCCACAAACCGCTAGGTCATGACCTGAGCCAAAGCCAGATGCCCAATCAACTCAGCCACTCAGGCTCCCGTTTCCATGTTTCTTAACGGAGTGCACTAGATGTTGGAAGCGAGAAGCCCTCAGTGGCAACAAAAAGCACCCGCGCGCACTTCCCAAACACTCCCAGACGGGTGATACTAGCCTCCTGAAGAATCACTGAGCTGGAACGCAGAAGGTAGGTGAGCAACCCTGCCGGCCTTCGGGAGCCAGGAAGGGCACCAGCCCTCCACCCCGCAACCCCCGTGGGCAGTCCCTGTTACCCACCTGCGGCTGAGACCCCCTGGGACGAAAGATCCCAGAGTCTTCCCCATACCAGCAGCAGTGGCCAGTGGGAATCTGCCAGAAATGCACACTCTCAGGCCCCGCGCCAGATCTGCAGAATCAGGCGCTCCAGAGTAGGGCATGCAGGTCTGCGGTGTAGCAAGCCCTCCAGAGAACTCAGTGCACCCTCCAGGGTGTGTGTAGGGGATGGAACCTACGTTCTCAAGTCTAGGGAACCCTGTTTGGCACCGGAAAGCCCAGCTCCTCTCCTGCCCCACCGCCACCTGTGCGCTTGGTCTGGGTCTGAGGAAACAGAAGCCCAGCAAGGAGGCAAGGCAAGGTGAGCAGACGCCAGCCAGGCCAGTCTCTCTACGGCTCAGGTCCATCTACACAATGGCCGAAGGGAGAGAGGAGCCAGACCAGAACTACTCACCCCGAGCCTGTACAAGTGCTTCAGGGACCCACGATCCACAAGCCACGGTTCTGTATAAGGATGCAATTTTCTGGGAAGAGGGGCCATGCCTACTTTACCTTCTTGAAGGGGTCATCAACCCTGAAGATTACAACTACAGAACTAGGGATCTCAAAGTCCACTTTGAGCCTGGGTGGCTCAGTCGGTTAAGCGCTTGACTTTGGCTCAGGCCTTGATCTCGAGGTTTAGGAGTTCAAGCCCTGTATCCAGCTCTGGGTCTCCCTCCCTTTCTGGCCCCCCCCAAAAGTAAACATATTAAAAAAGCCCCCCTTGCACCCTATCTCTCAAAAATAAACATTAAAGAAATTTTTAACCAAAAAAAAGAATAATCAAATCCCTTTGCAACTTGCAAATTAATTCCAGGAGAAAGCGTGGAGGGAGATAACACAGAAGCAATTTAAGCCAGGCAGAGTCTGGCCCCAGCCCAGCAGGGAATAAAAAGGGAAACCAGGGTCCCACTCGGCAAGGCGCAGTCTGACCCAAGGCTGTCCCTACCTAAGAGTACCCCAACCTTCTAATCCCAGCAAACAATAAAAATCCCAATTCTGTTCCCGGCTACAAACATGCCGACTCCCTCCAGAGTTAATGAGAGCTCGGCGGCCGTGTCCACGGGGCAGGAGTTTAACAGGCTCTGAGCAACAGACACATCCGTCAAAGGCAGAGGCGGTCAGGGGGGCTCTTAGGGAGAAAACTGCGAAATACCAACTGGATTCAGGGTCCTTGGGAGGGAGGAGGAGATCAGCATTCTGACCTCAGGCCCACGCACCCCTAGGCCTCAGGTGGTGACCCAATGGTGGGCGTGGACCTCGCTGCAGTCCAGGCAACAGAGCCTCTTACGGGCCTCTTCCAGAAAGCTGCGTCGGGTTTCTTTACTCCTCCTTTAATGATTTAATTCTGACAAGGACTTCTTGCTAAACGCCTTTCATCTATAAACCTGGAAGGATGACAAAGGGCCACCATGGGCTGAATCACCAGGGAAGTGGCTCACCCT